AAAGAGAGAATTAATACGGGAAAAGCTGACAACTCATATGTTCAACGACAAAAGTCAATTGTAAAATGCTTTCAATATGGAAAAACATGTTGGTGGTTAGCGACACAGTTTTGGCAAAAAAAACCTCCGTGAAGAGAAAACGGAGTCTCTAAAAAATCTAAAGAGCATCCTTTTTGAAGAATTTGAAAAAAGCTCAAAAAAACTATTAACGCGAAGAAACAAACACATACCCAAAAAACAGCTCACGAAAACTAGACAAGTTATAAAAGAGAGACAAATTAACCTACGGGTAGAATGTACATAATTATCGAAGCCTGGTGTTGGATGAAAAAACACGCACCTTTCAAGTTGGTAGAGAAAAAACCATAGAGCATCAGACATGGTGCGAACCACACATCGAAATATCCATTTGGAAATACCCACATCAAAGTAACAACATCGAAAAAATGTAGTTCACCAAGAAACACCCATATATCTTGAAATATGGAAGTAATCTATATATGGAAAGTAAGCCAACGAAGCCGAATTAAGCTGGAAAAGGGCTACAAATAAACGTCCAACCGTTTAAAAAAAAAGAAAAACCAATCAACTAAACTCATTCTAGTTTTCAAGCAATACAATAATCAAACACAAAACTTTATCATCACATTGAATAAGTTCGCACAAGTTGTAGAGATCAACAAAAACGTCCGACAAAACTTTTTAGCAATTCGCCTCAATTGATCCAGCTACAATTGATTAATATCAAAAAGAACAAGAAGAGCCGGTTGCTGTGCAAGTAACACAGAATGTTCCGACCATATTCTTAAAAAAATACTTAAAAAATTTTTTCATGTTTTTTTTTCGAAGTAGTGGTGTTTTCTGCGCGTAAGACTTGACGAAAACTAAAATTTAGGCATATTGATAATCACAGTTTTAGAAGCAAATCGGGAAAAAAATCTGTCGAAAATTGACTATAAAAAACGAAGACAAAAATTACTGAAATGAAACTAAACTGAGTTCAAAGCTTCAAACCAATTTTTCTCGACACTGGGACAATTTTTTCAAATTGTTTGAAATTCGTTCAAATCACGACTGAAAGGGCTTAAATGAGATATATCGCTCATTACTTCCGATGATTAATTTCTATTTTTTTTTTGCAAAATTTTTTTTTCAAAAATGGCATTAAAGTAAACTGGAATAAAACTAAGTTTCATGTTTTATACTTCTTTAATAAGCCTGCTCGCTTGCTCAAAGTTATACTAACACTCAAAAGTTTCAAACCGGTTTTTCTCAACACTTGGACATTTTTTTAAATGTTGTTCAAATTCAGACTGAAAAGACTTCAAAACGATAAGTCACAAAGTTCAAAATTTTTAAAGATCATTTAAATCACGACTGAAAGTGCTTTAACATGATATATCACTCGACCAATTCCGATGATTGTTTGCGTTACCTGATTTTGAGTGGAAAATGAGGAAAAAACACCCAAATTCAAAATTCTACCCCACTTTCAGTTGTCAGAACAACAATTAATTTTCAATCCTATCAGAGAAAAATTCCGGCGCATAAATTTTCTGACTGGATTCTACACTTCAACAAATTTCAAAAAACTAATATCTGACAAAAAAGGTGTAAAAACACGATCGCAATTCTAAAAAGTTTAATGGTGTTAAGACAAAAAGATCAAAAGAAGAACTCTATGTAAAGGCTGAAAAAACACTGGTCACCATCTTACCAATGATTTACCACGTTTGATCCCACTACAATGCAAATTCAAAAAAGTCAAAACTCGAGTAAAATACATCAACAATATAGGTTTCAATCGCATTTTCTTCGATCTTCGAGAGCCCGTAGTCCAAGTTGACGGAGTGTCGCCGGATAGTTAGTATCGAAGTATCGAACAATTCCTTACAGCTTTGTAGGTCATTCAATTCACGATGAAGTATTAAATTGACGAGTTCATGAACTGTACTGAATCGTACATCAGCCAGTTTTTTTGAAGGAAGTTCCTTTTTAAAGGAAGTTGTTTTTATCTCACATGTGTCAACTTGAGAAGTATGGAAAGAAATTTACGAGCTTTTTGTTGGCGTGAATGGGTGGCTTTAGTTAACCAGCCAGAGGCCTAACCCGAAGGTTAATTATTTAAGGTTAACTAAGCTATGGCTATCTTACAATGTAAGTTTTTGTAAGATAGCCACAGCTTAGTTAACTTTAAATATTTGACCTTCGGGTTAGGCCTCTGGCCGGTTAACTAAAAAAAAACGCCCATTCAAGCCAACAAAAAACTCGTAAACTTCTTTCCATACTCCTCAAGTTGACAGAGCTCAGATAAAACAATTTTAACGTCAAGCTATCTCAAAGAAATAGTCAAGCACGCTTTCTCGATTAAAACTTGAAACGAGGTGGTTTCACGTTTTGTTCTGGAATTCGTTTTCAGTAATCAGTCAATCAAACTGTTCACGGTCGATCTGAGAATAATCGGTATATAGTTAGTTCACGGTCGATCGGTATATAGTTGCTTCTTATAATTCTCCTCGTCACAGAACTCTGGGTCATATTCATCGTTTTTCTCTCGTTTTTTTTTCTGCAAGGACAGCCGCCGATTCCGAGAAAACTTCATTGTAAGGACATATCTGAGAGGTTTAAAGTTCCACTTATAGCTTCTTTCAACAATCTCAGTTGAAATAATGAACCTTCCGTACATCTCATTTTCTCATTTTTACTCCCTTTTTGTAAAAAAAAAAGCTTTTTATTGTTGGTAGCATTTTGCACTAAAATCACAATTTAACATTGTCAGGTTATGATCCAACTTGTTTTTTGGTTTCAATTCATGGAACTTCATTTTCCACAGTATTAAATTTTCACTTCATTTACAAAGTATTATAAAATTACCCAAATCGAAAACAGTTACCTAACATTCAGCACCAGACACAATGTTCAACACCAGGAACTGATTCAACAAATAACAAAAACTATTAATGACATTCACTGTTACACAGCAATTTTGCAATAAATATTGAAAAAATTAAATACTGCAACAAGAGATCTTCCCTCTCACTGGGCCCAAGAGTTTTGTTACATTTTTCTACCGTCTCGGTATACATGCATTCCTTCTAGCTTTCTAGCTTTTTCTGGGCTTCCCCCTTTTTCTCCCTTTCTTTGGTAATGGCACCGATCATTACAGCCCCAATTGTTTACTCTGCTGTTCGCTTCCGTGAGTTTTTCCTCGAGTTTTATTTCTCATTGTTATTGGAATCCCGGCTGGAATAAGATACCTGCCGGTACTTACCTGCCATTTGCCGGACAAGTACTGGTGGTCTACTAGGATCTTTTGCCCCGGCGCGGTTCCGCTCGTCTTCCCCGGTGCCACTGTTTTTTCTTTTGGTGTCGTCGTATCGCCGCTGCCAGGTTTCGTTCCGCTGGTCCCCTGTCCGCTCTCCTTGGCTTTTTCTTGCGCTTAATCTCCGCAAGGCAGCAACGCCCGCTCAAAATTGGATGCGGAATCCGAGTTTTCGTCACCTACGTTTTCTGTCGCCGTCCCCTGGCTCTAGTCGACCCTTTATACTTTGCAGAGTTACCTTTAAGCTCTGCTTTTATCTTCTTGCGTAACCGGCTTGTAGTCAAGCTTGTCACATTTTGTGGACACCTCTTTTTGGATATTGAAATAAGCTTCTTGGCGATTCTCTTGTTTTGAGCATAGATCCGTTATTTAATGTTATTGTGTTTAGACTCGCTAGCAATTTTGTTATTAATCAGCCTATATCATTCGTTTTGCACCTTAGTTTGTTAGAATCTACTGATTGCTGCCTCTTCACCATGGACTCTAATCTACTTGCTACCTGTGTGGGCGCTCCCGCTGCATCCGTGGGCAATCCATACCGAGTGACCAGGTTCTACCTTACCCGCAGAGGGTGTTTTTTGTTTTCCTGATCGGATTCCAAGTCAGATCTTGCATTCCATTTGGTCATAGGGGATGTGGCAACTTCTGTACACGAGGATCTTCCTTGTCTAAACACGCAGACTTTTGGCAAATTACATTGCATCAAATAAGGTTTTGAAGCAAAGGCTATTTAGTCGAATTTAGCAACACCGTATTTGCTTCTTTGCCATCGTGCGCCTCAATTGGCTACTTTTAAATTCTGGCGTTCGGTGCAAAACGTAAGGCTCCGAGCACGCGTTTCATCATCTTTTCTATGGTTTTCTTCCTCTGCTTGCGTAAATACAAAATTCTTTATTTTTTCTGTTTGTGATATCCTTCGCCGAGATAAATTTAACCACTTTATCTGACTTGTTGATATACCAACGCAAAAACTGATTGTCTGATTCTTTTAAGTAATTTAATGGACCCCAGAGACTAAGTTGCAGACATTCGTTTGGTGGCTACGGTTAATAAATTTTTGGCACATAGTGGTTTTGACTTTTTACCCCTCCCGCTGTATGTTTGTGACATCCTTCGCCGTTGACGCCAGGCTTCGATGTATGTACGAGAACCAGATGTTACAGTCCGCATCACAGGGCTAAAAAAATTCCTGCTTTTTAAAAATCATCGTGAACTTCTGAAAACTGTTCAATGGGAAGCTATTATTCATTGCTGTTTGGGTCAAAGTCAAAAACTGCTGAAATTTTTTTGAGTAATTTTGCACCGAAGGTAAATTTTCGTAACATAAAAGCTAATTTTGCAGTTTATTTAAAGTCAGCGACTAGTCTCGCTGATAATTAGATTTAATAATTTGACAACCGTGACATATTCTAGCATGAAACTGAATTTGAATTTCGAATTTTACAGAATTTTGACGTCGGTAAACTTTTTTATCCGCTGGAAAAGTTTTGCATCCGAAAATCATGAGCCACTTTTCTTGCAAGTTTGAAATGAATGGCCAAGAAGCGCCTAGAAAATACCTTCTATCTGTGAAAACAAAGTTGAACAAGTGACCGCACCACACGGATGTTTTTAACTTTTGTGTTGAAGAAATGGAAGTTGTAATGGCCACGAAACTCCACTGACAACTATGTTTAAGGTGCCTTCGCCCGAATGTCGACTGTCCCACATGTTGATGTCCGGAAACATCATGCTAGCCCCTCCGTTCCTCCTTTTCGGAGTCGCGATTTGGTTCTACACCACTGCAATCTACAACGCCCCTTTCACTCGCATGAGGGCGCAGGATCCAGCGGCACATACCAAACATCGAGCCGGCTTCAGAGTTCAGAGGATTCAGAATTGTTTCGGCCAATTGATGCGCGAGTGTGTCATCGGCCTGGTGTACTGTTTGACGTTTGTGGTGAAATTGGCTGTGGAGTATATAACCGATGACCCTGAAGTTTTATTCCTAGTGCGCAACCTGTGCTCTTCTGTTGCGTTTTTTGCTATTTCGTGTCATTCATTTTAGCATGCTCTAAATTCCAGGCAAACCCATACAGACCTATTTCATAGTTTTGTCCTGTCGCGCATGCTTAACCGGTAGATTCTTTGGCATCAATAAAAACTTAATTTGAAGGGGGGTGCGCTCCAAAAGAAACAAATAGTTGAAGTGAAATGTTTCCAAAAGGTGCTGTTTCAAAACTGATAAATAGTCGACAAAATGTTGACCCTCGAGAAAAGCCTACATCCGCACTTGACTATATAAAGCAAAAACATTTAAGTCAATTCTAGAAAAAAAACTTGATTTGATAGATGTTTGTGCGTATAAAACTTGGTATTATACAAAACAGTACCATGTTTTGAAAGAGTAAATACAATTTTGGTTTAAATTATCTGAGAAAAATGAAAAAACCTGAAATTTAAAACGTTTTTTTTTCAATTCGGGTTCATTTTGAGAAAAAAATGATGAAGACCAACCTTGCTTAAGACTTAGCAGAATTAATTTGGTGCAAAAGGATCTGCAAATTCGGGCTCAAAAATTTAACCCATAAACGATCATTTTTACTTTTGCTTAAAGCACAACAAAATTTGAGAAGGCTGTAACCTCCTCCCAAAGTGGGCGCAAAGGGTTTTTAAAAGTTTATCAAAAGAAATTGGTGTTGTGTAAAGTAAAAATGACTTTTTTTTTTACTATTAAACTCCCTTTTAATTCTAAACAGGTTTGGAGTAATTTTTGATTGACGAAACAAATTGAACTATATTAATACTGTAAAATAAAAGATTGGTGTTTATCATTTTTATCAAAGATATAAGAAAAACGCGTCTTGTATTTCAAGTTTTACTAATTTAAATCAGCACTGTGTTTGCATATATTCGCATTTAAAAAATTACCGAGTGTTGCTCAACTTGCTGCTTTTTTGCTCAACTTGACTGAAATGTATTTTTTGAATTATTGAATTGTTTGTATGTACAAAATGTTTGTGTATGTAAAATTTAATATAAGAAATATTTAAAATTTTTTGAATGAATATGTACGTATAAGAACTGTACGTTTAAGTTCTTTCTCAAAAGCTTACAGCTACCACAAACGATATGTAAAATTATGTGAAATAATGAATAAATAAATGTTTTTCCGTTAAGATTTGAGGGATTGCAGGATAAGATAGATAAAAACATCAAAAAACGAATAGAACAGGTAACAAAAAAAAACAATCTGTATCGCTACAAAGGTGAAGGACCCAAAATTTTTTTCATAATATGAACATATATTTACGAATCAAAAAGTAATTGCCACGAAGTTTTTTTTAGCAGACGATGTTGCTGAGAAATGAAACATGAAGAGGAACAATATATCACAACTTAAGCTCGCACGTTTAAAACTTGCAGCGTCATCTCAAAAACCGTAAGCCGGAATCCAAAAATGTTTTCAAAACGTTTTTCATAGTTTTTAACAACCTAGGATGAGTATTGTTCTATGCAGATTCAATTTTGTTATTTTGACTCAGCATTTTGTTGTTGTTGTTTTGTGTTTGAGGAGCTTCCAATCGCACACTTTGGCCCTAAATTGTTAAGCAAAAAGAAAGTCTAAAACTGCCATCATTCAAGCCAGGGGTGGATTTAGGGGTGGGGGGGATGACGCTCCTCCTCAGGGATTCGACCCCCTGCCGACCTTGGATACTTTTTCAGTAATCCTTTTTTGGCCAACCGACCCTAAAAAATTTCTAAAAGCGCGTTCGGCGCCAATAAATACTAACTTTGAGGGGGAGCACGCGCCAAAAAAAACGCCGCTTTTTGTCAAAATTTTTTTTGTCAAAATTTTTCAAAAAGTGCCCAAAAACGCCGCTTTTGACTTTTTTTCAAAAATTTGCCAAAGTGATGCAAAACAAAGCCTTGGGAGAGATCAATCAATTTGGTCGACCTAAAAAAAAGGTCGTCAAAGTTTTCGAAACTTTTTTGAAAATCCGTCCCCTCGAGAAAATCTTAGATCCGCAAATGATTCATGCTGCATTTCATATTTAAGAGAAACTTCTTTGTGAAAGCATGTAGCGGTAAAAAAAGTGCCCGAAAAGGGAAAATACAAGACTGCACTCCACGCATATCAAAGCAAGCTTTTGAATGTTTCGACTGCAATTTAAGGCCAAATTAAACGTTTTTGGTCTTTTTTTATTCATTTCATACCCCATACGTACAGAAACATGCATTTAGCGTATCGTATTATAACAATCAGACCAAACGACTTGCCTCAATTCATTTTGCAATGGTTTATTGTGCCGATTACGCGTGTTTCAAAAACTCAATTCAAAAATACTGACTTTATCTGTATTTGAGGTCCTCACAACAAAAAAAAATTGAATGGCAAAATATTTTGTCAGAAACGTAGATAAAAAGTGGAAACATGTCTGAAAAAAACTTCAAGCATAAGTATTCCGTCAGTTTCTTCCGTCAGATTTTGACAAATTGCGCGGTAATTATTCCAATTGAATAGTTCATGAGATCGAATAGTTTAAAATTTTGAGTTCAAGGCTTTAATATTTTTTACATTGCACTCTGATTAAAATTAGTTAAAGAGTCGAAATTTTGGAAAAACCACCCGACCACAAAAATTCAATTATTTCGTTTGAAAGGCGGGACTTTGATTATTTACACTTTCTATTTTAAAATATAAATGTTTTTCCGTGAAATTTTTTTTGATAATTTGAACATATATTTACGAATCAAAAAGTAATTGCCACGAAGTTTTTTTAGCAGAAGATGTTGGTGAGAAATGAAACGTGAAGAGGAACAATATATCACAACTTTAGCTCGCACGTTTAAAACTTGCAGCGTCATCTCAAAAACCGTAAGTCGGAATCCAAAAATGTTTTCAAAACGTTTTTCATAGTTTTTAACAACCTAGGATGAGTATTATTCTATGCAGACTCGATTTTATTATTTTGACTCAGCATTTTGTTGTTGTTGTTTTGTGTTTGCGGAGCTTCCAATCGCACACTTTGGCCCTAAATTGTTAAGCAAAAAGAAAGTCTAAAATTGCCATCATTCAAGCCAGGGGTGGATTTAGGGGTGGGGGGGGCGGACGCTCCTCCTCAGGGATTCGACCCCCTGCCGACCTTGGATACTTTTTCAGAAATCCTTTTTTGGCCAACCGACCCTAAAAAATTTCTAAAAGCGCCTTCGGCGGCAATAAATACTAACTTTGATGGGGAGCACGCGCCAAAAAAAAACGCCGCTTTTTGTCAAATTTTTTTTTGTCAAAACTTTTTAAAAAGTGCCCAAAAACGCCGCTTTTGACTTTTTTCAAAAATTTGCCAAATTGATGCAAAACAATGCCTTGGGAGAACTCAATCAATTTGGTCGACCTAAAAAAAAAGGTCGTCAAAGTTTTCGAAACTTTTTTTGAAAATCCGCCCCTCGAGAAAATCCTAGATCCGCCCCTGATTCAAGCTGCATATCATGTTTAAGAGAAACTTCTTTGTAAAAGCATGTAGCGGTAAAAAAGTGCCCGAAAAGGGAAAATACAACATGGCACTCCACGCATATCAAAGCAAGCTTTTGAATGTTTCGATTGCAATTTAAGGCCAAATTAAACGTTTTTGGTCTTTTTTTATTCATTTCATGCCCCATACGTACAGAAAGATGCATTTAGCGTATCGTATTATAACAATCAGACCAAACGACTTGCCTCAATTCATTTTGGAATGGTTTATTGTGCCGATTACGCGTGTTTCAAAAACTCAATTCAAAAATACTGACTTTATCTGTATTTGAGGTCCTCACAACAAAAAAAATTGAATGGCAAAATATTTTGTCACAAACGTAGATAAAAAGTGGAAACATATCTGAAAAAAACTTCAAGCATAAGTATTCCGTCAGTTTCTTCCGTCAGATTTTGACAAATTGCGCGGTAATTTTTCCAATTGAATAGTTCATGAGATCGAATAGTTTAAAATTTTGAGTTCAAGGCTTTAATATTGTTTACATTGCACTCTGATTAAAATTAGTTAAAAAGTCGAAACTATGGAAAAACCACCCGACCCCAAAAATTCAGTTACTTCGTTTGAAAGGCGGGACTTTGATTATTTACACTCTCTATTTTAAAATATAATTGTTTTTCCGTGAATTTTTTTTTTTTATAATATGAACATATATTTACGAATCAAAAAGTCAAATAAAAAGATGTTGGTGAGAAATGAAACGTGAAGAGGAACAATATATCACAACTTTAGCTCGCACGTTTGAAACTATCAGCGTCATCTCAAAAACCGTAAGCCGGAATCCAAAAAAGTTTTCAAAACGTTTTTCATAGTTTTTAACAACCTAGGATGAGTATTGTTCTATGCAGACTCGATTTTGTTATTTTGACTCAGCATTTTGTTGTTGTTGTTTTGTGTTTGCGGAGCTTCCAATCGCACACTTTGGCCCTAAATTGTTAAGCAAAAAGAAAGTCTAAAACTGCCATCATTCAAGCCAGGGGTGGATTTAGGGGTGGGGGGGATGACGCTCCTCCTCAGGGATTCGACCCCCTGCCGACCTTGGATACTTTTTCAGAAATCCTTTTTTGGCCAACCGACCCTAAAAAATTTCTAAAAGCGCCTTCGGCGCCAATAAATACTAACTTTGATGGGGAGCACGCGCCAAAAAAAAACGCCGCTTTTTGTCAAATTTTTTTTGTCAAAACTTTTCAAAAAGTGCCCAAAAACGCCGCTTTTGACTTTTTTCAAAAATTTGCCAAATTGATGCAAAACAATGCCTTGGGAGAGCTCAATCAATTTGGTCGACCTAAAAAAAAAGGTCGTCAAAGTTTTCGAAACTTTTTTTGAAAATCCGCCCCTCGAGAAAATCCTAGATCCGCCCCTGATTCAAGCTGCATATCATGTTTAAGAGAAACTTCTTTGTAAAAGCATGTAGCGGTAAAAAAGTGCCCGAAAAGGGAAAATACAAGACGGCACTCCACGCATATCAAAGCAAGCTTTTGAATGTTTCGATTGCAATTTAAGGCCAAATTAAACGTTTTTGGTCTTTTTTTATTCATTTCATGCCCCATACGTACAGAAAGATGCATTTAGCGTATCGTATTATAACAATCAGACCAAACGACTTGCCTCAATTCATTTTGGAATGGTTTATTGTGCCGATTACGCGTGTTTCAAAAACTCAATTCAAAAATACTGACTTTATCTGTATTTGAGGTCCTCACAACAAAAAAAAATTGAAAAGGCAAAATATTTTGTCACAAACGTAGATAAAAAGTGGAAACATGTCTAAAAAAAACTTTCAAGCATAAGTATTCCGTCAGTTTCTTCCGTCAGATTTTGACAAATTGCGCGGTAATTATTCCAATTGAATAGTTCATGAGATCGAATAGTTTAAAATTTTGAGTTCAAGGCTTTAATATTTTTTACATTGCACTCTGATTAAAATTAGTTAAAAAGTCGAAACTATGGAAAAACCACCCGACCACAAAAATTCAGTTACTTCGTTTGAAAGGCGGGACTTTGATTATTTACACTCTCTATTTTAAAATATAAAAGATTGGAAATACTACACGGACAAAAGAACATTGTCTTAATTGTTTATTTAACGATCCAATTCTAAATTGGAGCGTGCCGTTTAAATTAAAATCTCTTTTCACTAAATCAGATTTTCACAGATTTATTCTTTTAAGAACTATGAAATCTTGTTTTAAAAAATCCACTACTTTCTAAATACTTGTCCAATTTTTCTCAATTTGTCATGCTGAGTATTATAAAAGGGCGGCGATTATTACCACGTCCCTTTTTGGTTTAACTTAAAACAAGATGGATAAATATTTAGCAGTCTTGCCGGCTGCACTGGAATTCTCTTTGCTTTGATTAAGCAGAGATGCACCTGCAATATAATGCATCAGAGAGAATAATATGATTTTTTAATCAGACAAAAGTGAAGGCTGCGCTTTTAATCAAAGAGGACTAGTTTAAAGAAATTTGATTTGAAAAAATCAAATAAAACTAGTAGAAAATTCCTTTATAAAAGGGAATAAAGGAGCAGGTGAAATCTGAATAATTAAAGATTGAATCAGCCGCCGGTTTATGCTTAAGAGCAAAAGGACTAGCCTGAAATCTTCAGTGTTTCATTTTGCTCAGTCAGCAGCAAGTCCGATCTCTTAACAGCATCATTTTCAAAATAAATAGTTTTTCTTTTCCACTTTAACAATAACATAAATATAGTCATTTTCCAAATAAAACAGAGAAAAAATTTTCGTTAAAAATTCGATAAAACTTATTAAACGATACGCACAAATGAGGAAACCTGGACCATGAGGACGAAAGGACGACAGCAAGGACAATACAGACGACCAATCAGAAGTGCAGAAGTGGACAAGACAACTTTTATCAAGACAACTTGACAATCTAAGGTGAGGCTTATAACTTAGGATAAAATACTAAGCAATCAACCAGCAATGATCGCTCAGTAAATCATATAGACACAACATATACTGCTGCATTTGATGATTCGATTGTTGCTCTAATAATCCAATCAAACAGTTTTAACCAATGAAACAATTCTAGGTTTTTAAGCAGATCTGATATTCTATGGCTAATCTGTTGCTGCTGATAAGTTTAGTTTTTTCATTCCAAATATAAATACGGGCCAATTTCGAAACAAAAAAGGGCAAGTTCGGGAATCGCGGTCTTTCGATAGAAACCCAATTTAATTGTCTTCTACTTGACAGTCCTTCCTATTAGGATCCTTGCCAAACGTCTTTCTAACTGACTTTAGCTCATGAATTTATATATTATTATCTGTTATTATAATAATAAATAAAATCTCTGAAAAAATTGTTCTCTGCCTAAGTTTGCTAGTAAGATATACCCGTTTTATCCAGTAAATCACTAAATACATGCCGAAACTTCAGTTTAAACTTATCATCACCAAAATTAACTAAATCCTGTATTCAACTAAAGTGCTCAAAAACTTATTAAATATCTTCATTCCTTCTTTCGAGGGTGTTAAGTGGTCATATGTGCGATCTGAGAGTATCCTAAATTGTATGATAAATTGAATTCTTCTTCACAATATGTCCAACCATTCACGCTTGTTGCTATTTATTCTAATCCTTCATCATTTATCGAGGCTTAGCCTCAATTTTTCTTAAACTCAGTTTATTTTTACCCACCTAACGTAACTGAAACCTAAATCATCCACCAGTAAATCTACCAATTACTGAAACTAAGGGAGAAAATAACAAAAACTAAGAAAAAAGGAACGGATTTGGGTGTTTTTAATGAATCATTGGTTTTTTTATGACACAGTTGGAATATACACCTAAAAACAATAAGAATACGCACTAAAACCAATTTTAAACGTTAAGCACATAACAGCAAACACCATGTTTTAGTTTCAGCACAAAAATATTAGGTTTCACAACAAAAACGAAATCCAAAACACTGACACATCCACTTTGTATTGATAAACTAGGTTTCATATGATAGCCTAAGCACTAGAAAATTAGTTTTTACCAGCCAAAATTTAGGTTTCAGCCTAGGTTTCTGTTATAGGTTCAAACTTTTCAGTTAAAATAAGTGTGGTTTCCGGTGAAAATTTAAGATTTCTGTAAACGGATTTTGGTAAAACAGCGAAAATTGAACTAGTCAAACCCAAACTTGGATACCATAAGCCAAAAACCGGGTCTTAAATGGTAAGTTTTTGTTAGTTTTAGGTTTCAGAACACAAACTGGTCTCAAAACTGAGCTCCGAAACTCGACTGTTGACTTTTTAGAGAAATTTAACGGTGTTAAAACCCACCGAACCAGTTTTAAATTTTAGTTCCTAAGGCTGAAACGTAGTTTTCAGAAACGTAGGTTTCAGACCCAAAAAATTGGCTTCCCAAGTCAAATTTTTGTAAAATGTAGAAAGATAATAGGAATCCTTAATGCACTAACCAATTTTAAAACTCAAAAATCTTCTAGAAGGTGTAGATTGAGCCCTAAAACTTATTATAGTTTCAGACAACTAAATTCGTCGTTTTAAGCTAAAATTCTCATCTTTTTAGCAATTTTTGTTGCTGGAGTAGGAATATATTGGAGATAGCAACCTAAATTTTCAATCCCACAAAAATCTGAAACCAATTGGTCAAACCATAGTTTTCGTTCTAGAAATCATAGTTTCAGCACCAAAAATTTAGATTTCCGCAAACAAATTTGTGACTCAGGTTTTAGGTTTGAGATTTCAAAAACTAGCTTTAAGATATCAAAAGATTCGTTTTTCTCCAATTTTTTGCAAGTTTAAGCATAAACAAAGTATGCTATAGCTTTTAGACCTTGGATACTTTTTCAGAAATCCTTTTTTGGCCAACCGACCCTAAAAAATTTCTAAAAGCGCCTTTGGCGCCAATAAATACTAACTTTGAGGGGGAGCACGCGCGAAAAAAACGCCGCTTTTTGTCAAAAATTTTTTTGTCAAAAATTTTCAAAAAGTGCCCAAAAACGCCGCTTTTGACTTTTTTCAAAAATTTGCCAAATTGATGCAAAACAAAGCCTTGGGAGAGATCAATCAATTTGGTCGACCTAAAAAAAAGGTCGTCAAAGTTTTCGAAACTTTTTTGAAAATCCGTCCCCTCGAGAAAATCTTAGATCCGCCAATGATTCATGCTGCATTTCATGTTTAAGAGAAACTTCTTTGTAAAAGCATGTAGCGGTAAAAAAGTGCCCGAAAAATGAAAATACAAGACTGCACTCCACGCATATCAAAGCAAGCTTTTGAATGTTTCGACTGCAATTTAAGGCCAAATTAAACGTTTTTGGTCTTTTTTTATTCATTTCATACCCCATACGTACAGAAAGATGCATTTAGCGTATCGTATTATAACAATCAGACCAAACGACTTGCCTCAATTCATTTTGGAATGGTTTATTGTGCCGATTACGCGTGTTTTAAAAACTCAATTCAAAAATACTGACTTTATCTGTATTTGAGGTCCTCACAACAAAAAAAATTGAATGGCAAAACATTTTGTCAAAAACGTAGATAAAAAGTGGAAAAATGTCTGAAAAAAACTTCAAGCATAAGTATTCTGTCAGTTTCTTCCGCCAGATTTTGACAAATTGGTCGGTAATTATTCCAATTGAATAGTTCATGAGATCGAATAGTTTAAAATTTTGAGTTCAAGGCTTCAGTATTTTTTACATTGCACTCTGATTAAAATTAGTTAAAGAGTCGAAATTTTGGAAAAACCACCCGACCACAAAAATTCAGTTACTTCGTTTGAAAAGCGGGACTTAGATTATTTACACTCTCTATTTTAAAATATAAAAGATTTTTTTGTCATTGTAGTATTGGAAATACTACACGGACAAAAGACCATTGTCTTAATTGTTTATTTAACGACCCAATTCTAAATTGGAGCGTGCCATTTAAATTAAAGCCTCTTTTCACTAAATCAGATTCTGACAGATTTATTCTTATAAGGACTATGAAATCTTGTTTTGAAAAATCCACTACTTTCTAAATACTTGTCCAATTTTTCTCAATTTGTCATGCTGAGTATTTTAAAAGGGCGGCGATTATTAACACGTCCCTTTTAAGTTTAAGTTAAATCAAGATGAATAAATATTTAGCAGTCTTGTCGGCTGCACTGGAATTCTCTTTGCTTTAATTAAGCAGAGATGCACCTACAATATGATGCATCAGAGAGAATAATATGATTTTTTAATCAGACAAAACTGAAGGCTGCGGTTCTAATCAAAGAGGACTCATTTAAAGAGATTTGATTTCAAAAAATCAAATAAAAACTAGTTGAAAATTCCCCTATAAAAGGGAATAAAGGAGCACTTGAAACCTGATTAATTAAAGATTGAATCAGCCGCCGGTTTATGCTTAAGAGCAAAAGGACTAGCCTGAAATCAAAAGTGTTTCAATTTTCTCAGTCAGCAGCAAGTCCGATCTCTTAACAGCATCATTTTCAAAATAAATAGTTTTTTTTTCCACTTTAACAATAACATAAATATAGTAATTTTCCAAATAAAACAGAAATTCAATAAAACTTATTAAACGATACGCACAGCTGAGGAAACCCGGACCATGAGGACGAAAGGACGACAGCAAGGAAAATACAGACGACCAACCAGAAGTGCAGAAGTGGACACAACCAAGGGTGACCCATGAGTACTAAACAATCATCGACCTTAGTAAGAAGATAAAATATTGATGAACAAAATAAAACTAACTCAACCTCCCCTCATAGGTATTTTTCATTAAGCTGTTCGATTCTTTCAAATAATCTAATAACCCTGTGCTTTGTATTTAACCAGCTAATTAATTTATACCTTTTCTAACCATTGTTTCTACTGTAACTTTTATCAAGACCACTTGACGATCTAAGGTGAGACTTATAACTTAGGATAAAATACTAAGCAATCAACCAGCAATGATCGCTCAGTAAATCATATATACACAACATATACTGCTGCATTTGATGATTCGATTGTTGCTCTAATAATCCAATCAAACAGTTTTAACCAATGAAACAATTCTAGGTTTTTAAGCAGATCTGATATTCTATGGCTAATCTGTCGCTGCTGATAAGTTTAGTTTTATAATTCCAAATATAAATATTGCCAATTTCGAAACAAAAAAGAGAAAGTTCGGGAATCGCGGTCTTTCGATAGAAACCCAATTTAATAGTCTCCTACTTGACAGTCCTTCCTATTAGGATCCTTGCCAAACGTACCCCCTACGCTAACAATCACCCACGATATTCCTCCAACTCGAGGTCTATTATACGGCTTTCTAACTGTCTTTAGCTCATGAACTTAAATATTATCTGTTATTATAATAATATTAAAAATCTCTTAAAAAAAACTTTTTAAATATCTTCATTCCTTCTTTCGAGGGGGTTAAGTGGTCATATGTGCGATCTGAGAGTATCCTAAATTGTATGATAAATTAAATTCTTCTTCACAATATATCCAACCATTCACGCTTGTTGCTATTTATTCTAATCCTTCATCATTTATCGAGGCTTAGCCTCAATTTTTCTTAAACTCAGTTTATTTTTACCACCCTAACGTAACTGAAACCTAAATCATCCACCAGTAAAGCTACCAATTACTGAAACTAAGGGAGAAAATAACAAAAACTAAGAAAAAAGGAACAGATTTGGGTATTTTTAATGAATCATTGGTTCTTTTATGACACAGTTGGAATATACACCTAAAAACAATAAGAATACGCACTAAAACCAATTTTAAACATTAAGCACATAACAGCAAACACCCTGTTTTAGTTTCAGCACAAAAAGATTAGGTTTCACAACAAAAACTAAATCCAAAACACTGACACATCCACTTTGTATTGATAAACTAGGTTTCATATGATAGCCTAAGCACTAAAAAATTAGTTTTTACCAGCCAAAATTTAGGTTTCTGTTATAGGTTCGAACTTTTCAGTTAAAAAAAGTATGGTTTCCGGTAAAAATTTTAGGTTTCTCTAAACGGATTTTGGTAAAACAGCAAAAGTTGAACTAGTCAAACCCAAACTTGGATACCATAAGCCAAAAACCGGGTCTTAAATGGTAAGTTTTTGTTAGTTTTAGGTTTCCGAACACAAAAACTGGTCTCAAAATTGAGCTCCGAAACCCGACTGTTGACTTTTTAGAGAGAACTAACGGTGTTAAATTCTACCGAACCAGTTTTAAATTTTGGTTCCTAAGGCTGAAACGTAGGTTTCAGAAATGGTGTTTTTGGTTTCAGACCCAATAATTTGGCTTCCCAAGTCAAATTTTTGTGAAATATAGAAAAATAACAGGAATCCTTAATGCACTAACCAATTTTTAAACTCAAAAATCTTCTTTTTGGCAGAGATAACTTCTCTTTTAAAAAACTTAACCGACCCCATAGCACTATTAATCTATCCAACAAAAATTTGTATTTATTGAACCCAGCAAATCTCCACAGTGGGAATATACACATAAAAACAATAAGAATA